TAAATTTCGAGATTAAAGATTTTTGCATAACTTCGCGATTAAATTTTAAAATTAAAGATTTTTGCATGTCTTCGCGATTCGAGATTTTTACGCCCACCCTATTAAATTTTGAGATTAGAGATTTTTGTGTCCCTTCGCGATTACACTACGAAATTAGAGATTTTTGCATACTTTTGCGATTCGAGATTTTTATGCCCACCCTATTAAATTTTGAGATTAGAGATTTTTGTGTCCCTTCGCGATTACATTACGAAATTAGAGATTTTTGCATGCCTTCGCGATTCGAGATTTTTACGCCCACCCAATTAAATTTTGAGATTAGAGATTTTTGTGTCCCTTCGCGATTGGAAATTTTTACATCCCTTCGCGATTACAGTACGAAATTAGAGATTTTTGCATCCCTTCGCGATTACAGTACAAAATTAGAAATTTTCGTATCCCTTCGCGCGATTAAATTTTGAGATACGAGATTTTTATATCCGTTCGCGATTTGTATACCCCTTCGTGATTTTTATACCCCTTCGCGATTTTAATTTCCCCGAATTTTATGTGCTAATTATTTTTCTCTGTTTCAGGAATTGATTTTGAATAAATTGTTTTATTGTTGATTGCTCTTAATTTCGTAATTGTCATTGTGTTTTCTGTTTTTTTGATAGGGTTGTTTCACTTCTTCTCGTACAATTCTGTAGGATAATAAAATTTTGTATGTTTCAGATTTTATTTTTTGGTAAGCTAAAATGTTCTCTTTTCAAATTTCTGTCTTAATAAATTGTTGTCTGTTTTAGTGTTTCGTCTTTGCCTTAATAAATTTTTGTCTGTTTTAGTGCTTCTCCTTTGCCAAGTTCTGTCGTTTCCTCAAATCCGCAATTTTCATTGCGTTTTGTATTTTTTGAAATTCTTGTATGAAATAAAGAAAAATTTTCCTCCTCCTCCCACAATTTTCTGTGTTAATAAAATTTTATCTGTTTTAGATTTTTGTTTTACGTAAGTAATGAAATAATTTATATTTGCCTTAACAAAATTTTGTCTGTTTCAGATTTTTATTTTTGGTAAGTTCCTACATTGCAATTTATATTTGCCTTAATAAAATTTTGTCTGTTTCAGA